ACACCAAGAAAAAGGACAAAACAGATTCAATAAAAGCATGATGAAATAAAACCATCATGGTTTTATCAACGTGGAAACAAGAAAGCCTTCTTAAACACAAGAGCCGCTGGGGCCCCTTTCTGCACACAGCTTCAGTGTTTGCTTTGAAATTCAGCTTTGAATCAAAAGGGAGATATTTATTACACTGAACACTTTCCACATTTTGACTGCACACTCCTAAGTTAGAGGCAGGGTAACGATGCTGTAAGGCATGGCCCGCTTTACCTAAATAACTAAAAAAAAAGACCACAATTAGTGACCGAAACATAGTGTTGTAATAAATTAAACTCAGTAAGAAATTGTTTGGAAATTGCCTCCCCCTGCAGGCCATAACAAAAACTGCACTATCATGGGACCACCGTCTTGCTCCTTTCTTAACCTCAGGCTATCCACGTTTGCGCATGGAAGTGTAGGATATCCCAGGACACAGCTGTACCTCCAAATATTAATGAGTTCAGATGGATTAATAATTGTCTTTGACCAAAGGTCTCCTGCCTATATGATAAATTGGTAATGGTCAGGTTTTGCTTTCCCCTCCAGCACTCAGGAGAAGATACAGGAGTGTAACAGTATGATAATTTGGCTCAATGATAAAACACCCAGGACTTAATTACCTGCAGCGCAAACACATATGCGACGGACACCAGGTTTTATGAGTGCAATGTGTCCAATACCAAATCAAATGCCTGCGTCAGTGCATCACTACATGCTGCATTTCGGTTTGCTGGCTAGTAGCAGCAGCAGCTACACTCAGATGATCAAGCTAAATTTCTGACACTATCACAGTGTTATTCCACACCACACACTGTGATGCAGGACCAGGACTAAATTATAGGAGAGATGACAAAGCTTTGAGAGCAGCTCCATGAAAATATAAAAATATCAGTGTTATCCTTCAGCCTCTTAGTAGCTGCACATATAGAATAAATTTCAAAATCCTGCATCACCTCAATCTCCAGTGACAAGACTTGGCATCAGACCTTGAGGTCAAGGTCACGAAGATTCAAACTTTTTTGAGTCTTGTGCTAGATGTATCTATGGTATCAATTTGAAAATACAACATTGCTTCATTTTCAAGTTATTGTATTTGCAAACCTGGGCGTCCATGGCACCGTGGCAAAGTCGTGGCGTCTCTTTCCGTTATACGTGTGTTGTCTTATCCTTCATATTTTGTTGTGACATGTGTTTGTAAGCCACCATGGCATTTTCTGGCCACACACTGAGTTTGTTTCCTCAATTTGGCTCTTATCAAATTTACAAGGGAATTAAACTAAACTGAGACTAAAGTTAAACTGAAATAACAATGCTTCTCTTTACTCTGTGTTGCCTCTGAAGTATAAAACCCAGTGGGAAACATAATCAGGTTTGTCTGTAACAACCCAGCATCACTCATGCCATGGAGGAAAAATACAAAGCTCTGCAGGTGAAACATGACAAAACTCTGCACAAAAATCAACAGTTGCTTCAAAACAAGAAGCAAATGGAAATTAAACTGAAACAAATGGGCTCCAATGTTGACGAGATGGAGGAAAAACACAGATTGCTCCAAATCAGGCTCGATAAAAAAGTGCACGGAAATAACCAGCTGCTTCAAGAAAAAGACCAACAGAAAATACAACTGGAAGAAGAAAAACTTATTCTTCAGAGGAAAAATGAAGAACTCCAAGAACTGTATAATGAAACGAAGTACAAAACAACTGTACTGGAAGGAGAAAAGAAAAAACTGGCAAATCAATGCTCAGCGATGCAGAGTAGCATCAATGCAATGCTGAGAAAAAATACAGAACTTGAAGAACTTTCTAAGACCTTGAAGCACAAAAACACTGAAATCCAGGCACAAAAGCAAGAACAACAGAAAACAGATAAAGACCTGCAGTGTAGACTTCAAGATATCCAGAAGAGAAACCAGCAGCTGGAAGACATGCACACAGATGTGCACAAGGCAAAGCAAATAGAGGAGGCAACAGTTAAAGAACTGAAAGACCATCTTAAAGAAAAACAAGAACAATTAGAAGACATGGTGAAAAGATGCAACAAACTTGAGAAAGAAAACACAGAAACAATGGATGAGCTGAAAACCCTCATCATTGAGAAAAAAGTGCTGGTGGAAGAATATCTAAAAAAGAAGAGAAAACGTTTCCACTGGTTCTGGAGGAGGGACACTGCTGCTTCTCACCTGATGTAAGCTCGTCTTCCTCCACCTCTATTCCATCTTCATTTTCCCCCTTCCCCTCCCTCCTTTTTCTTTTTTCACCCTCACCCCCCGACCAGTCCCGGCAGTTGACTGCCCCCTCCTGAGCCTGGTTCTGCCATAGGTTTCTCCTTTAGGTTTCTTTCACTTTAAAGGAGTTTTTCCTATCCACTGTCGCCTGGTGCTTGCTCAGAGGGGATAGTTAGGGTTTTCTCTCCTCTCTCTTTCCTTCTTTCTATCCCCCCTTTTCCCCCTTCTACCTTTTCCTTTACCCAATAAACACAATTGGCCTCATTTTACATGTGTTTGAAAAATGTCTTCATTCAACAATAATTCATCTTAGGTATAAAAACAGGAAATGGGTAATAGCAGCATGTGTGTTTGTGTGTGTGCATAATATACATACTTGTATACCAGAAGGAATTAATACTAGATGGGTAGAGACAGGTTTTAAAGACTAGAAATGAAAACATGTGAGTCCTGTCTTTAAATAAAAATATAGAATTCCCTATATTCCTATCTATTCCAAACAACGGTAGTAAGTAACAAAGTTTCAAATTTGTCTTTCCCTTTGACTCTTAATTTATTAACCATGAACAAGAGGTCAGAGGTCAAATGTGGCACGATACCTTAAATCTTTCTATGATACTTTCTGTATTTGGACCAGAGATGGGCAACACCGCATAGTCTGATTACTTTTTTCAAGTAACGAGTAAAGTAAGGGATTACTATTGCAAAAAAGGTACAGTAATTAGATTACTGTTACTTTCCCGTAAGCAGGCTACATTACTGCGTAACTAATCCTTGTCATTTTCTTCGCGAGAGTGTCTCATGACAATGACGTACGAGCATGCGACGTCCGTGGCAGCAACAGACGTGTGTAGATCAACAAAGGATAATATGGAGTGCAGGAGAGAGTACGACCATGCAGGGTTTAAAGCTTGGAAGTACTGACATTACTTTGACTTTGATTCTGTAAAAAGTGAGAAAAACATTGAAAACATACGGTAGTGAAGTCGGGTTTTTGTGATTAAGTTCTTAGCCCCCTGTTTCAGTTTTGTTGTCGTCCTCCCCGGTGTTCCCCTGACACTCTTGGTATTTGATGCATGAAGGCTTCCTCGGCTCAGCTCCCGTCTCCACACCCTGCTGTCACTTTTTTAAATACTTCCATCACACCAACAGGCACTTTAGAACAGGCTCAAACCGGAGAGGTGATTAATCGACCACAGCGCTGCACACCCCTGGCAACTTTGGGGGGTAAAGCCACTGGTTTGTGGTGGTTGCCAGGTGAAATCAGGGTCTGCTGCACCAAAAACATAATTGTGATTGCTTTGGTTGCAATCAGATTGCCATAGTCATCTGCAGTTTGCATGTAGGATGCCAACTACTCACCAAGCGGTGGGAAAAGTTTGGTTTGGTTTAGTTTGGCGTTCATCTTTACTTTTCCGTCCTTTCTAAAAACACTGACATATAGGTCTGGTCTACCTAGACTGGCAGCATGCTCGAGGTGTCCCAGGCTCGTCTGTTTGGTGACGCGGTAGATGAGCTCGCCCGGCTTGCTGTCCTGGTTGCTGGCTGACAGCTGCAGCGTGGTCAGCTTCTGAAAAATTACATTTTCTTATGTTGCAAGTCTCAAATCTTGATTGCCTAGATCCATTTAGTGTTTTATCATATGTGCTTTAAGCGGTAAATCTCAGGTAAAATGAACTGTTCTATCTGCCAGGAAGGACTCAAACACAGACCCAAGATAAACAAAGACTGGATACAGTCTCTATATTATCTGCATGTCGTTTGAAATCTACAAGACATGCTGACTCCATATCTGTGTAGGTTCCTAGTCAATCAGGTCATGGTCGTCTTCAGAGAGGCAGCTGGACTCCTTTAAAACATTTCACTTCTCATCCAAGAGGTTTGTTCAGCTTGAAAAACAAAAAGGTGGAGAGTCCCAGCTATTTAAACCCTAGTGGAGGTTGTTCTCTATGGACGTGGTAGCTGACCTACCTACTATTAATCATGAGCTAAGGTTTGAAAAACCGCATGTGTCATTACCAACAGGGGTTCCAAGTAAAACCACTGGCATCATGGGAGAGTGTCTGCATCTAAATTTCACTCTTTCATGGATGCCAGCATATGCTTGTCAAATAAAGCCTGATTTTAGTTTAGTTTTCCTTCTATAAACAGATATTTCTAAACTGGAAATGTTCAAACTTTCAAACTGGCGCAGAAAAAAATTCAAAGGGTATTAAGTGTCTGATGGTTCAAATTTCCTGGAAGGACGATCATTACAGTATACTGTAAAATGAAACAGTGCATGTACATATTATACTAGAGACTACATAACCACCGCACCAGAGGTGTAAGCACATTTTGCAAGGCACTCATTATACATTAAGACAGTTTTATAAACCTTCGTATATGTGAGATAAGGAAACCAATGAACAGCCTCAAACATAAACGAACAGATGGAGATACAGACTGTATTTGCAGATTACAGCTCCACCACAAATCAAACTTCCATATTAAAGCGAGACTGCTCAGCAAGGAAAAACAGTCAAGTAAGTAAGACTGAATGAAGACAGATTAAAAATTAATTGCATCTGCTCACACATTACTCAGCTGTAGGGTTTTCTGAGTACTCAGATGTAACACTGAGGAGGAAAACCCAAAGAAATGGCAAACAGAAGTTCATTCTAATAAATTGGAAATGTGGGTCACGTCCGTCAAATGGAGAAAGAAACTTGTCACAGTGAAGACAAAAAAAAACAATGTATAAAAGTAAAAACATTTTAATTCAATCATTAATAAAACAGATAAAAATAGTAAGAACATTCTGCGTAATAAACATCTTCAGGTATGCTGGGTTGTCCTTCTTGTCACCTCACGTGAGCAGACAATGCAAACCAGCCTTCTCGAGCTCTCTCCTTGTCCATCTATTGACAATGAAGAAAGTCTTTTTTTCAAATCCAAGCAACGACATGTAAATAATGCACATTGTGTGTGTGTGTGTGTGTGTGTGTGTGTGTATGTGTGTGTGTGTGTGTGTGTGTGTGTGTATACCTGTGTTTTGCCATCCCTGGTTTCTCTTTCAAAACTGTGAGAAGATGCATCAGAGCCAGCAAACCTGCAGCAAAGATAATTAATCATCTACATCATGTGATCTTCAGTCAGTTCTTCTTCCTGACATCATCACTTTGTGTCTGTTTAAGGTGCTGGAAAAGAAATGGTAAAAAGAACCTTGCTGTTATTTGTCATAACATCCCTCCCTGAGCCGATCTGATACTCACCTCCTCTCACCCTCACCGCCACCACTGTGTGACCGGAGCTCTCGCTCGGGCAGCAGCTCTGATGCCTCCAGGCGTTTCGCTGCAAAAGATGAGGCGTAATGATTTTAAACTGTCATGTGTGCTCCAAACAGACAGCGACATGTTGCTTTTACCCACTGGATTCTGGATTCGGGCTGAAGGCAGAAGCTGGGATCGGGGAGATAGAGGGAGAGACTCTGGCTGAAACACTTTGCTTCTGTTGCTCGATTATTTCCAGCAGCCGACCTCGGGCTGCAGCGCTCTGCCTGTTCAGCTCCAGGAGGCGTTGCTCCACGCTGTTTTCACTGAAAGTGTTGGGTGATGTTGCCTAAACAAAAAAAACAAAAAAACAACAAAGAACGAGACACACACCGCATGTGAATCATTACTAAATCTGAATGAGGAGGCCACCTAAAGGCTCTGCGCAGTTCATTCCTCGACGCACCTGTCCCATCACGCTATGAAGGGAGGGTCAGAAAGTTAGGCGGAGTCAGGGGAGCCACTACTCCACCTCTAAAAGGTGAGCTGCTCTCAGAGAGCTTCAAACAACCCCTTAAATCTCACCTGTTGAGTCAGCTGTTGTTCTTCAGGAGTCCACACATGCTGGCTCCGCCTCTCTTTACAGCTGGACCCGGACATCCTGCTCTCTGCAGCGCTCTGAGGTGTTACTCTCCCGGTGCTGCTGCAGCTCGACCCTCTTCTCTCATTGCCACTGTCGAGCGATTCTCTGACCCCTGACCCGAGGCCCTTTGCCTGGCTGAGTTGAGCCCTGATAAGATCGGTCTCTTTGCTCAGCTGAGCAATCTCAGCTAGCACTGTGCCCGGAGACCTCTGTGAGCGAAGAGGGTCAGAGGTCAGCGATAGCGAGGAAGCAGAGGGAAGCTGAACTAGGGGCAGACTGCTGAGACTAGAGTCTGAGCTGTGAGCGCGGAGGTCCCCATAGGAGAGCAGGAGATCCGCAGCAGGAAGCTGCTGGTGCGGTGGCGCAGGACAAGTTGCTGTGGAAGAACGAGAAACAAAAATTAGCTGCCTCAAGGTGAATCATTTCTGTGCTGAATATTTGAAATCAGATAATAATTTTGGAAGTGAGAAAGTTACCAGGAACATGCTGAAAGTGGTCCCGCTGTTGAGGTGGTGAGAGGAGGACGGCAGAAGAAACAGGTACTCGCTCAGCACCCGTCGCAGACTGACAGCCTGTATACCAACAGTTCACCAAAATATAAACCATTTTCACCATTTACCAAATTCCTCTGGACAGAATATACACAGACAGACTGCACAAACCTGCAACTTTAACCTCAGAGTGTGGGGTTTGGCCACTGTGTTCACTCAGCAGTCCGAGCCCTCCCATCGCCAACACCACTGTGTCCAACTTCCGCTCCAGCTCTGCTGTCCGCTGCTGTAACCCTGCCTGAGAGGCACATCGTCACCAACTCATGATTTATCAGCATAGATGGAGTAACAATAACCTAAGCCCAGTCCCACCTGCAGGGTTGTAGCCTCCTCTCTCAGAGTCATGGTTTCAGCAGTGAGAGCATCAATGAGCCTCTGCTGCTCTTTCAGCTCCTCCTCCAGTTTTCTCCTCTCCTGTGCCGCCTCCTGAGCTTCATCTTCCCTCTAACACATTACAGGCAGACAGTGATTTAAACACATATAGCAGACTGCAAATATTTGCATCAAAGCAAACCTGCCCTACAAATTAAAAACTAATTCTATTTATTAATGTGAAGTAGGGCTGCTCGATTATGGCAAAAATGATAATCACGATTATTTTCACTGAAATTGAGATCACGATTATTTGACGATATTTATTTAACCCTTTAAGACCTACCATAGAACCAAGTCCACCAGAGCTTATATTATTTTTTTTTTTTTTACATGCTGTAGTGCCATTTGTGGGAGCATTTCAAGTTGCTATACATCAATACAACTGTTATAGCCCATATTTTAATAATATGTATGCATTAAGTCCATAGTAATTACATAAATTGCAAAAAAGTGCAATAAACTACAAAAAAAATTGAAAATCGTTTTTGTTTTGTTTACATATATTTCTACTTGGAGAAATTTAAGAGGTTTATCCCTCAAAACTTTAAATACAATAAAGTTGCAAAAAAATAGTTTCCCACCACAGGAAATTTATTTTGAGTGTCTTCATAGTTTTATTTTGGAGATACAGCAATTTTTATATACTGCAGGAAAAACAAAAAACAATCCTATGATGCAAATTTGCAAAGAAAACAGCATGTGCATCATTTTACTGTGGGAAGTGTTACGAACAGCTGATAGTAACGGCAAAGCGTGTTTCTGGAATATTATGTTTTTGTTCCTGCAAGCGCTTTTTATGCAGTTTTTGCAAAGCTATATGTGGAACGAAACCGTGACCGAGGACAAGCTGATGGCATCAGATGTAAGTACAACTCCTCCGGTTTCATATGCAAAACAAATTATTGCGCTAGCTTACACGGTTCAGGTTCTACAGGGATTTAAAAATAGTTACGCAAAACGGAGCGTGCTGCTCTGACCGGCTTTAAAGGGTTAACAATAACTTTAAAAAAATAATATAAAATAGTGTGCAACACCACTGAAGTTTTTTTTTTTTTTTTAAACTCTCTTTTCAACCAGCGGCAGTCACTCTCCTCTCCAAATAACTTCTGCTTAGCTTTCCGAGCTTCCCTCGGGTCCTCTTAATCAGCGGTCTCCACCCTTTTTTGCGCCACGGACTGGTTTATGCCCGACAATATTTTCACAGACGGCCTTTAAGGTGTCGCGGATAAATGAGGGAGGGGCTAATAATCGGCTCAGTCATTTTTAATGATCGTTGAAAGCCCAGATCGTAATCGTGATTAAAATTCGATTAATTGAGCAGCCCTAATGTGAAGACCCCTGAAAAAGATAAGAACTGTGCTTCAGCATATTTACATGAGACTTTCAGCATTAGTGATGCTAAATCAGTAATAGTAACAAACATTTTACAGATCAAGCATTTCTAAAATGTGGTTTTGCTGCTATCTAAAGATTTCAAACTAGGAATTCGTGTCTCCTTGCATCCCCATCGATGACATGACTTTTTAAATAAAACCAACATTTAATAAGAAATGAATGTATCCTATAAACTAAAAGATGCAGTGATAATGGTACCACGATCTTATTTTTTGTTTATGTGAGTAAAGCCTGCATGGATTATCTTTAGTTTGAATAATAATCTCCACAAGCTTGTGTGACAAAACCTTTTTTGATATCTGGCAGTACCTTTTTAAGGAGGTGCACCAAACGTCCCAGTGTAGAGACCAAGGCCACAGAAAATCCAGTAAGGCTTTGTGTTCTGTGCTTTTTGGGACTCTGTGCAGATGTTGGTGCTGTATCAGGGCTCAGTGCGTCCAAATCCGACTCCACCTGACCCAACATGGCCTGCAGCAGGCCCAGACTGGACTGATCCCCGCTGAGAGAGGCAACAGAGGAGCCGTCCAGCTCTGAACCCTGGGAAACACACTTCCTGCCTCTGCTGGTGTGATTACCGATCCAGTCTGTTCAGCATATAAAAGAAGAACAACAGACATGATCTCATCTCCAAACAGAGTATTTCATTTTGGAGAAAATCCATCCCTTGCAGATATTACCTGACTTGCTCTGAGGCGGTTCAGAATTAAGAACCTGAGAAACCAGGACTGATGTTTCCTCTCTGGCGTCCTCCGCCTGACTCTGTCTGGACCGAACACGCTGAACAGCCACGGTGGCATTGAGAGCTGAAATGACATTAGATAAGTGTTTATTTTCACGTCTAATGCCAGATTGTAATAAATGATTTCTTGATCACTACTTAAAATAAATATAACACACTTCTAATGGCACTAAGACCTTCTGATTATCTGTTTATCTTACCTCTCTGAGCTGGTGCCCTGTCTGATGTACAGGGTGTCACGGGACTATTATCCTTGTCTCCACGGTGACAGCTGTGATGATGACCTTTGTGTTGCTGTGACACTCTAGCCCGAGGCTGCGCCTTCATTTTTTGTACATTGACCCTGCAAAAAAGCGTTATGAGCAATCTAATAGTGACAGCAGCATCTCTGTCACTGTTGTAGTGTATAACAGTTAGCAGGGATTAGCACCTTCGGATTACATGATACTCTGAACTGGTTGAAGGACGGGCATCGTCTCTGTGGTCGTCCTCTGAAGCTTCCAGTTCATTAAGAGCCTGAAATAAATCATTGTAATTGTGTAAAATGCAAATAAAAACTCAAAACGGTGTATAGTATTTAAAAATACACTTTTTTAAATCAGTGTAAGCATTGGATATGTTACCTCTGGAGTGTTTTCTGTTAAATATAGGGTTTAGATCATTAAAAGAAATAAAATAAACTAATAAGCATAGTTGTTGTTCTTTAGATTATACATTGCACATGCTGTATTATGAAGCTACTAATGACAGTCTCAATAACACACACACACCTCTTGATCCATCATTGACTGGCTGAGGAGAGACAGATGAGTTGGACGATCTGGTCTTTGAAGAACAGGCAGTTCTGAGTCAGAGTCACAGTTTGGAGCCACAGTCACTCTGGGGTGTCCTGAGGAAAAACATTTAGACATAAAGCAATACTTATGCAACCATCAGAGAGAATTTGTAGCTCTTCAAAATGAAAATACTGGGACAAACACCCAATGTTCAACAATCGGGTATCTCAATGACATAAAGCAATGGACAAGAAGTTATTCTATCTAGTCACTGCATCTGTTTATCTGCACACAAAACAAGTTGCCAGATACCGGTGTGCCTGCGTGGAGCATCTCCAAACAGGTCTTTGACCACAGCCAGGGCTTTGTCAGAACGGGCCAACACATCCTGCAGCAGCAGCTGATCAGAGAAAACCTGCAGCAACGCCACACAACTGAGTTTAACTCAACACTGTAAGAGCCACTAAAAAGATACAGATACACGTGCAATGCTGAAACTGAAAAATCAGGAACAGAGCAAATATATATATTCTCACAGCACTGTACTTACCTCCCTGATGATGCTGAGACTGGCCTGGTCCAGGGGTGCAGGGCTCCCTGCGTGCCTGAGACGTCGTTTCAGGGCTTTCTCTTTCAGCTCCCACTGAGCTGCTGCTTTGTTGTGAGACTTGTGGAGCTCATGCCGATGACTCTGAACCAGAAGAACAATCAGACAATCTTGAGACCAAGGTACAGTAAATAACACTTAAAAAATAAAAAGTGCAAATGTTCTTGCACCTTACCAGCTCCGCAGGTGTCAGCTTGTGCACAGAGAGGTCGTTGACAGTGCTCTGAAACCAAAACGCTGAGAAGTTAGACAGGCTAAATAAAGGAACTTATAAAAGGTTAGCTTGAATGTTTGTTTTTTTACACCATGAACATGTTTCTTTAGTTTAGCAAGAAATTAGATTCCTTGATGATCTGAGTAACCTCTAGAAAACAAATAATCTCTCCTCATACCTTTCTATTTCAGATTATGGTAGAGAAGATTCACAGCAAGCAAGAGTAGACTGTCTTCTAATTGCACAGAAATATGTACAAGTACAAGACTGCCTGCTTAGTTGTGACTGGCCTTCATATGTCTCTAGTATTTGTTCAGCTGTCAATACTCACCACCCACTCTCTTCTTTGAGCTGCTGCCTTCTTGGGGCGAACAGGCCTTTTTCCTTTGGCGTGCTGCTGTGGACGCCCCACTCTCACAAACGACATCTGCTCACAAACAATACGACAAGGAGACTTCGTTAAGGCTGCACACGTTTCATTTACCAAAAGTGTTTAGTATGTAACAACAAGCTAGCTGTTAACTCTCATTCCCATGGCGAAGCTTCTGTAACTTTCACTAAACTAGGATGTACGGCTGAGCTATCTTAGGCTAAAAGGCAAGTTAAAACTGAAAAAACATACTTTTTACAACGTGGAGCTCCGGTTAATAAAGAGAAACGCCCACCAAGCTGTCTTTAGACGCCGTTTTAAAGGCTGGTGACAAATAATAGCATCAAAACCACCTCTTCAGTTTGTGAGACATTTTTCAACAGTTGCGCGCCACTTCCTGTGCCGTTTCCACGGATACCGCTTCAAACAGTGGAGCATCACGGGAAATGAAGTGCTGCTGGGAAAGGTGGCGAATCCTTTTCATTAGGCGGCAAAAAATGCCCCCTGTCGGTGATTTAGGGTCAATGTGAGATACTTTATTTTTATTACTGGTTAGTTTATATCTGAGGTTTTTATTTTGAGTGATAAAATTGCTTTTACATCGTAAATCCCTGAGACTAATTTCCACCCATTTACCCTGTTTGCACTCTCTTCTTCACCTCTCGTGTGTTCTCTCTGTTGCTTTGGATGGCTGATCGTAAGTATTTAAACTCATCCACCTTCACTACCTCTGCTCCCCACTCACACTACAGATTACAATGTCGTTTGTGAACATCATGGTTCGGAGCAGATCCCCGATGCAATCCCAGAAATAAGCTTTAAAGAAGACCACAACAATTTTCTTTGAATGTTCCAGACATGCTGGTAAAATTAAAAATTAAAAACTAGGCTAAAAATATACATGTGAAATTATATCGTGCACTTTTAAAACAGTTACAATTCAATCAAAAATATTGATGTGATTTTAATTTCTTTGTCAGTCTGATCAAAAAATTTGCCTTTGATAAATACGTTCATATCGCAATAAAAATACAATGATAGTAAACTGAATTTTAAAAAACTGATTCAAAATTAAATAGAAATAAAAATCTTAGAGATGTTTTCTGAATGAAGGTGAGGTTCTTGAAAAATCTTGTCTAAGGCTATTTGTCTCGGCCTTATGAGAACATCCCCGCTCTTCAAATGTTATTTAAATTAACCTTCAGGAAAAAAAAAAAAAAAAAAAAACTTATGGAAACTTTCACTAGTTGTTGCTAACTTTCCCAAATAACCGCCATACAAAAAATAAAAACTTTGCATTAATATCTGGAATCACCACTAGATGGCAATGTCACTATTTAAATGTCTGCTGGTGTTGGCGCAGACGTGTCCAACTGTCAAATGTTTCATCTGCTCTTAACCAGAGAGGAACTGATAGGGTTTATTTATTTATTTTTATATCGCACAAGGCTCAGACTGAACTGGTTTAGGTTGCACTGTGGGGTAAGTTCACTCAAAAAATTAACGCTGTAGGATAGCCTGACAATTGCGACAAACCAACAACAATATTTAACTGGACACATGGTGTCTTTCCTTCAAGGTAGTAGCATTTTAATAGTAGTTTATAGTATAATAATAATAACAACAAATTCAAATAGTCTATCTGTATACCTGGAAATCGGTGTAACATATGAATAATGTATTTTAAGCCAAACTGCAGGTTTTTTTTCACTGAGAAAAATCCCTTTGACCTCAAGTTAAAAATTTAAGATCCAATCTGGACGACTGTTGCCAGAAAAGACGGTCGGGTGATATATCTTCTTATTTTACTTTTTTAAAAATATCAACTAAATTGCAGCATTTTGACCAGTGGTATGTAGTTTGTTGGTATTCCCTGTATATCTACTCTGGTTGTTACAGTGAGGTGTGGATTTGCATCTGACTTTTTACACGCCCCTCTCACTCTGACACAGGGTGGGTTAGATTCTGTGGGCTTCAGTTCAAGACTGACACAGATTTGGTTGACTGACTTCTGACACTCAACAATGCAGGCCAAGCCACAAAAGTTTGAAACGTTATCTTTACGCACGGAGCTGGCTGTGAGAGGACTCGAGGGTGACAGCAGCTGCGCGCCCATGGATCAGGCTACAAGTGTTAGTTTCTCTGGATCCCCGAGGAAAGTCATTTGAAGAGTTCAGCCTCGCTGCAGTGCCAAAGGAAATCCATTAGTTTTTCTACACTGGATTTACCAGACCTCCGAGGGTTTGCAACTGGAATATCAGTCAAACTTATAAATTCATATATTTTCTGACTTTTTTTTAGTAGTAGTATCCATTTGTTTTTTGTGCATCTCCTGAATAACCGGAGTCACTTTTGGAGAATTACGCACGCGATTTCTCTAACAAATGACAGCCTCTAAGTGGTTTGTGGCTCCTGCATTGCATCCCCTCTGCTCCCTTCATCGGACCGACCCAGCGTATCACCCCCCTCACCAGCTTAGACGCGGGGAGTAAAAGCCTCTCAGTCTCTTCCAGTGCGCCAGCGTGCGGCCGCGGGCTACCTGGCCGAGAATGTGGGGAGGAGGTTTCCCGATGTCTGTCACCGCGATTGTGACTCTGCTGTTGGTCATTATTGACGTGAAAGCGAGCGGGGAGTTTTGCCACGGCTGGCGGGACTCCCAGGGTGTCTGGAAAGAGGGCTTTCAGTGCCCGGAGAAGATAGACGGAGTGGACGCGATAATCTGCTGCGGGAAATGCGAGCTGCGCTACTGCTGCTCCAGCACGGATGCGCGGCTTGATCAGGGGAGCTGCGATAACGACCGACAGTCACCGGAGCCCGGGACAAACAACAAGGAGAACAAGGACTCCGGTGCAGGTACAAGCCCATAACTAATTCCGCTAATATTATGAGTAGTATTGAAAGAAGAGCGCTTAAACATGTGAAGAGCAAAGCGCAAACAGAATAAAAACTAAATGTTTGGGGGGGTTCTTTAAGTTAAACTCTTGTATAGGAAGTTTCATAGTTAAATCCCCTGTGTTCTGTAGACTTACGTGTGATTCATATGAGAGAGACACTGAGATAACGTCGGTGCACTAAAACTGCCTGACCTGTTGCTTCAGTGGGGAGAGTGCAGTCTTTGTTCACTTCAGAATTTACAGTCTCAGTAAAACCTTTTTGATTTTATTCATTCCATATAAATCTTACCATACTGTATCCCATAAGCCAACCTCATACACACCCCACTGCTTATGTACAGGATGCCTTGAATTTGATATTGTAAATATCATTTAATATGACCTGCTGGGAGCTTTGGTTTCCTCTCATAAACCCAGCAGACTCACAGTATCTCCCTGTTAAAAGCTGCATCTGCTGGCTGGCAAGCGACAGCTGCACGGACACAGCAGACTCCTCCAAAAAACCGGTTAACTGCCCTCACAAATGGCAAACTGTGCCGTGCTGCTGCACTTTATAAATAGCCGTGTTTGTTCTTTAACAGTGCAAGAGAGGGGCCGGGCTCAGATCACGCCGTCCCCACGGGGATCAAGTTTGGACTTGACCGGATCTTGGACAGTGTAGCTCACGAAGGGTGCTGACAGCTCTGTTCATTAAAAAGAAGAAAAAACACACGCAATTTGCGTTATTTCCTCTCAGCAGGCTCGTGGAGTCTCTTTCTGTTGGCCAAGCTGCTACTGTAATCTAACCACTCCATGTCTCTGTGGTATCTGTGGGCTTTGAGGCCCTCACACTCAGGTCATGCTTCAAACTAGAAGCTCACATATAAGAGGCATCAATGCCAAAACCAGAGGCAAAGTATGACCCACATTTTCCAACTTTTACCGTGGATTGGGTGACAGACCTCTCCCCCTCTGGCCCCTCATTCATCACTGCTTACATTCCCATAAGTTAATCTACTGTAAAGTCTCTTGAAAGTGCACCATATCACGAAAGAAACATACTAGACATGAGAGAAAAGTGCAATACATGTTTCCTCAGAGGATACCCTGCCCTCTCCAGCTACAATCTGTCATTTGCTAATACTGTCACAGCTTATCACTACAGGAAGCAATATATACATTTCATTCATAGGCCTCCAGCCAAAATTACTTAAAGGAAAACCTTTTTTTCTTACAAAAAGAAGAAGTGTTTTTATTCATCCACAGCCCAGTTCACTTTGTGCATTTTACACATTTTTCATGTGCATGCAGCCTATTCATCATCTCAAAGAGATACACATAGTGCAGTGTTGGGGGAATAACACAAAGGAAATTATTAATGTGCTGAACATGAAGGAACATATGGTATTTGGGAACAGGAGAAAGCCCATGGGATAGGCTGAAGGAGGGGTCCAATCAGCCAGCCAGCCACGAAGAATCTGCCCAAAACAAGAGCTTAGCAGAGGGGGCTGCCACAGCTCGACTACAGCAACAGGTGTGGACGAATGACAGGGAACAATAGGAGGATGGGGGACAACTGCCATGTGCACAAAAAAATGCCTCAAAAGAAAGAAGTAAAGAATAAAGTTAGTTTTTTTTTCAAATTTATGTGAGTACTAGGTGGGGTTTAGTGCTCAGTGTCCACATGAAGTGGCTTAAAATTAAAAGTGTTTCAGCAGGAAATACTTGTAAATATTACAACCAGTAAGGAGGCTCTGTGGATCCTCTATCAAATGTTAGTTAGTAACTGGTGAATTCTTAGCTTTTTTATTTAACCGCCTAAGACCCGAACTCTTCCATGACATGCATTTTTAATTTCTCTTTGATATTTGGGCTGATTGGGACCTGATGAATGTAAAAACAAAGAATTGCCAGATTTTTACCAGATTTTTGTTTCTGGCAAAAATGAGATCCACATATGAGGATATTTGTTTAAAATTTTAATCGAACAGTGGCAGTATAATGGCCTCGTAAGTGGATATCAGGCCCGAAATTTAGTACTTTGGTCAAGACAACACAAAATGTGATGTGATCTCCATGTCCTAGGAGGTTAAAGCTGCACTTCACTTTATCTGTTGCTTTGGATATCTGCAAAGCCAATCACACACAGCCTCTGCTGCACTTTGTGTTAACTGGTATTCTAAGAAGCTAAAGTAACATTAGTTAACTCTATACCTGATAAAAATCACCTTGTGGCCATGTCAGCATCACGAAATCAGCCTTTAGCTCAATGCTCAAAGCACAGCTGTGCCTCTGTACCGACTGACCGGCATGGAAACATGCTCTCAGTCTTGTTTCTTCTTTTCCACTCCATTAATCATCTCTTGACCTTCCAGATTTATCTTGTGACCCCCTTCAGGGGCTAACAACCCCTATGATAGGACCCAAAGGCCTAAACTCCCTGACTCTACAGATTCAGTTTCAGCAGCTACAACAACCACAAGATTCAAACTGATCCATTACCAGCGATGTAATAATGAAATATACAAAAAGTGAGGCTCAT